GGGGGATGGCAAGGACTAGGACTAGTCATTAGGATTAGCTCCATGATTGAATCCTAGTGGCTATATAAGAAAAGGAAGAGTGTGTGGACATGGCCAAAGTAGAGGGTGCACATAACATGAAAATGTCATGAGCCATTATTGTGGAAAAGAAAGATTCACCTATAGTAATTTTTAGTTATTTATATCATTGTTGTTACCTGAAGTGCTGAGGATGGAACCAGAGCCTCCTACATGCTGGGCAAGTGCTCTACGAACTGAACCACATCCCCAGTGCTGTTCAGTTATTATTTAAAACGGGGAAGGGTGAAGGGGCTCAAAGACTTGTGTATACGCATGCTCTGTCTTTTGCTGTAAGGATGTGCTGCAGGGCCTTGGACCTCTGCCAGCAACAAGGCCAGCACAAGACACAAGTCCCTGTTACATCTTCTTCTAGCCATGAGCTAAAAGAAATTTCTTTTTAACTTACTGGTTAAATTCCCAGTCTTATGGTCCCTTTGGGTCCTTCTTGCTCTACCCACCATGTTGAATGAATGGAGGGCCTGAGTTAATACAGTTAACTTGTTAATAAAAGACTCTTTGCTGTTGCATCAGATTGGGTCTCTTGGTGATTTGGGGGTTCAGAATTTGGGCACAACACTATGTGTTCCTGCAGTGTCAAAAATAAAGTCCCCTTTTTTAAGTTTCAAGAGAGAGAAAACAGGTTATATTCACAATCTGCATAAGGCAAAACTGTTATGAATAAACCTTGGCAGATTCCATGGCAGGTGAGAGCGACTGAGGCGGGGACAAACATGCCAGGCAGACAGAGCTTAGTGACAACATTTTAAAATCCTATCTTTCATAAACCTAGTTTCAGGAAAGGACAAGAATTGCCATACAAGAATACATAATAATGGTAAATGTCTTGGAGACCTGTTGTTGCCTCCTTGGTAGGCCCACTCCATGTGGTCACCTTTAATCAAGATGTCAGTGAAATCCCATGACATCCATGGTCTCTAACCCTATCAAAGATGGCTGCTAGTTATGTGGCTGCCCAAACTTGGTGAAGTCACATGACATCTGCCCTCCCCAACCCTAGCAAAGATGGCTGCCAGACCCATGGCTGCCCAATGATGGTGGCAATCCTTGTGTTGCTTATATTACAAAACAGAATCATGCCATATGGTTCCTTTAAAATTACCTATGCATAGATTGGTTCCTTCCCATAGATTTTTAATTATAAACTCCCAGTGTTACTAAGTTTTAAGTTAATTTTTTCATAGATTTTTACAAATTTTAGCCTTATCCAATAAAATAACATATAAATCTTGAGGTAGAGAATGTTCACATAAACCACGTCTAATTTTTTGGCTGTTCTACTTTGCTTTCTTTTCCCTGACATTGTGTTAGGTAGCCCAGACTGACACAGGACATAGAGGAAACTTTTATATATGCTTGGGTCTAATGATGGGAGAACAATAAACCAACCATAGATCCAGCTTTCAAATAAAATAGATGTGGCATAAAACAATTTTAATGTTATGTACACCAAAAAGACATCCAAACTCCTGCTAACCTGAATTCATTGACACCAGAGAGCTCAGAGATAAATTCTGAGCCCCAAACCCAAATAAATGCAGCCATGTGGTCACTGGAAGCTAGCACACAGAAACAGCAAAATAGCTTTCCCATTTGTGTCTCAGCTCAATGCTTGCAGCAAAACTTATAAACACACAGACAAACTTTCTAACAAAACAGGGGGACACAAGTTTAGAGAGAAACAGACAAAACTCCAAGAAGACAATGCAACAAAACTTACCAACAAAACAAGCAGACACAACTTTCTCTAGAAAGAGACAAAAAAAAACTTTCCACCAAGACAGACAAAACTTCCCAACCAGAACCAGAACTGCCGGTGATGTCCAGCTATATGTCCTGGACAGGACATTACAGAGGTTCTGTTGAACCTTTTCTATGTCCTCATATACCCCACAAAACAGAACTAGATATGACTCACCAGGAGGCCCCTGTAGATGTTTGTTCTATTCCTTAGCGTGGGGAGTTCACTCCTATAGTCTGTGAACGGAAGGCAGCCAGTGAGTCTTGGAACATCTCAAGGCCTCCTGAAGCACCCTCAGTCCCATTCTGGAGTGAAGGTCCACCTTTAGGATTTGGGTGGGTAGTCTGACACTTGCTGGGGACCTCCAGAAAATGTTAATCCCACTGATCAAGAATAAGACCACTACACAGTTTAAAACCAAATATGAAGCAAGCTTTGAAAATGTTGCAGCTCTGAAGGGAAAGGTATCCTGACCATTGGTAGCCAGGCTATACCTATAGCTGTGAAGGGAAGTATCCTGGATACCTACAGCTCTGAAGAAAAAGAAATCCTGACTGTCAGGAAATCAAGCCATACTTATAGCTGTGTTCCAGTGAGGGATGGTTTTCCCACAGGAATCAAGCAATTCTGTTTCTCTCTGAGAGAGCCATTAAAGCTCAGCTCTACTCCACTCTGCTAAGCGTTTCCTAGCAGAGATGTGCTTTGCTCCTCTGCTTTGGTGAAAGTTGTTACTTCTCTGCTTCACTCTGCTAACAGGAAACCCTGTCAGAAATACAGCGGTTTGCTCCTGCTTCATCCAGAGATGCCGGTAGCTTCTCTATTCTGCTCCAGTCAGGCAAAACATTTTCACTCAAAGTTCATTCAAGAGATTCATTGGAAAGGAGGAATCCAGGAGAGTGGATGCCTCTGCCAGGGTGGGAAAGGGCGGCCCCAAACTGAACAGGCACAGGACTTACATAGGGCTTCTTAGGGGCAGAGTTTCCCAGGGTGAAGATTTTTCAGGATGGGTTTTAATCCCTGAGCTTGGACAAGCTTAGAGATTGGCTGGATTTTGTGCTCAGGAATTGGTTGGTTTCATGCTCAAGGATGGGTTCGTTTCATGCTCAGGGAATGATTGGTTGTTTTTTGTGATGAGGTGGTCAGGGGCAGCGTGTTTCTTTCATTGACCCTTTTTAACCTTTTGGGTCTGATTTCAGGGTTAAAGTGTGTTTCTTTGGCTATGTTTCAGGGTTGGGGTCTATTTCGTTGGCTCTGGTTTCAGGACCAAAGTTTGTTGTTGTTGTTGTTGTTGTTGTTGTTGTTGTTGTTGTTTTCCCCCCTGGCTCTAGTTTCAGGGTCAGGTTGTGTTTCTTTGGTTGGCCCTTTTATCCTACAAGCTTTAATTAAATACTAGCTAGGTGGATGGGATCTGGCCAGGTCCATACTCAGGTTCCCAGGAAATGACCTAGAATCAAGTATGGCAAGGTCTTAAGAAAGAAAACCCATAATTCATTGCCTTTCCCATTAGGTCCAGTCAGGGGCAAGCATACAACTTGACCTATTTCCTGCCTATGTACCTTCTGCCAACAAGTGACCAAGCACATTTGGTGAAGATGGGTCAAACAAACTTGTTTAGGGGAGTGAAAACATGCGACTTTTAATGTCCTATGAACAACAGCCTCAGGCATTTCAAGAACTATCTGTCCTCGGGCAAGGGTTTTGAAGATCAGAGGCATTTTTGTTTCATGGATCTCTGAGGCACAGTAATTAAAACTTAAAATGTAACACTGGCTCTCACAACTGCCTCTCATTTTTAATACTTTTCTGCATTACTTTTTATTTTTACTTTATGTGTATGAATGAGTGCTTTGCCTGCATTTACCACCTGTGTGCCTGGTGCCTGTGGAAGCCAAAAGATTCTGATCCCTTAGAACTGACCTTCCAGAGTTTTGTGAGCCACCCTGTGGGTGCTGAGAAGAGAATCCAGGTCCTAGACAAGCGCAGCCAGCCAGCGCTCTTAACGACTCTGAGTCATCTTTCCAGCTCCCACTTTTTAATTTTTAAAACTCTGCGCTTGGGATTATTTATCTCGAGGTTTTGGGTGTGCCTGTACATGCTGACCCACGAGATCGCCTCCTCCAGCTTGGCAGGGAAATGCGTATCTTTAACACTCCGACTCTCCTAGAGCAACATCGAGACCTGCCCTCAATTTTCTTCTAGAGCTCCAGGATTTGGGCGGTGGAGGTACACACCCAGAACACAAGGGTCCTGGCTCCCCACAGCCAGCCTATTCCGACTAGGGCAGAACGGCCCTTCGCCTAACTCACCCCTCTTCAAAGGCGCTAGGTGGGTGCAGCAGCTTCTAGACTGGACTGGCGCACATACGTAGGCAATGAGGGCGTGCTTTCTGGCTTGGGAGAGCGGGTCTGAGACAGCCGGCTGAAGCCCGGGAAGCTCTAAGGCTTTTTCTGGACAGGAAAGTTCTCCCAGGGATCCTAAGGGAGGGGGCGTGGTTGGAGGGGTGGGGAA